AATTTTTTGACTTTTCATTATATTTTCTTCTAACAAAAAAATAACTCGTTTATTTATATTATTATATATTCATTATAAATATTAATTTTGGTTAATTGCTAATATTGTATAGAAAGAATGTTAAAATTAATAGTTATTTATATAAAATCTATTATAATAATTATTTATAATTGTAATCAAAATATGTTGCTATATGAGTGAATATAATAACTAATGTTATAAATTATTAATTATAAATTTAGGGGAAAAATCAATTTAACTCATACAGAAATTTATATTTGAAAAAAGAATTTTTTTTTTATATATCAGAATCCCGAATATAAATGAGAAAGAAAGGTACATATATATCTTAATTTGAGAAGAAGAAAAATGATTCTAAACAATGAATGGAAGGGGAAAAGATCTAGATCATTCCGGCTGATCGGAAAATGAACCCATAAAGAATATGAAATTAGATTTTATAATTTGAATTTATATGCGTTGACCTAAGTAGACGTCTTCTTTTGGGTCTCCTGATTTAATCCTTATGGCTCTGCCAGAGCCTGGTTTCCAAAGGATGTTAAGGTTGTAGTGACAACTGGCACGAATTTATATTCATCAGGAATACAGAGATATTTGTTCGTTTTAAAATCTTCCGTGTATTTTAAGATGTCCTTATTGATGTTGGAGGGTGAGATGGGGTCAACACAGGAGCAGTTGGCCAGGTTTGAGTAAAAAATTTTTAAATTATAATAGGTCGGGCTGGGCTTGGAAAATATTTTTATAAATTGTATTGGGCTGGGCTTTTCAAATTATTATCAGCGTGGACTCTTGGGAATTTTTTTAATATTAACTATGGATCAAACATTGACCTATAACAAATTTTTTTTGCAGGCCTGGGCTCGGCCTGATCAAAAAACCAAGGCCCATATTTTATTCCAATTCTCAACTACCAAAATTATTATTATCTTTGGTTTGGGTTGGGGAAATTTTTTCAAAATTATTATGGCCTTGGACCTTGCTAGGAATTCGTTCAATATTAAATATTAGGCATAAGTGATCAGAAATATTTTAACAAATAATATTGATATTCAAGTGAAAGCTTTAAATATATTTAAATCAAAGCATAGCATTTACACTTAGCTTTAATGGATTGGACACGGCCTTTATGGGGGGGGGGGGGGGTTTATAAAGAATAAAAATTGGAAATTATTTTTAAATAACAGGTAACAACTATCATAAAAGTAAGGAAAATTCTCGTACCCCGTCCTTTTTGACGGGCTCTGCAAAGCTGACTAACGGGAGCTCTGGTACTCTTAGTTATTATATTATTCATTTTGCCCATCAAGAAAGACGGGTCATCATACTTTAAATTAGGGCTGTGGTGATCCACATATTTTTCACCGATCCGATATTTTTCGATATTGGTTTAAAACCGATCCGATATTTATATTGATTTTTCACCACCCTCTTTGAACCAAATGTAATTAAGAAATCAATATTTTTTATGAAAAAAATCGAATTATGCAATTAATTTAATTTTTTTATTTCTAGAATAATTTTTAAAAGTTTACGGATATTGGTAGTATTAAATAAATTTTTCATTATTCCCACCCGTGAAATTAGAATTCCGCAGATAACGCATTTTGCAAAATTATCTTTGTCTTTTGTAAAATATATCCATAATCCAGATAACATATTTAAAAAAATTCTTTTATTTAAAGTATAAATAATAATATTGGCATTATTTTAAAAAATTTAAAATAAATAATTGGGTGTTCCTTTATATTTTTATAAAAAAACTTTTAAAATACTATAAATCTATTTTAAAAAATAAATAAAATTTAAGAGGTGTTGTGCATTTGCATTGTTTAAAAATGATTATTAAGAAAATATTATTAATAAATATACATAAAATAACAAAAAAAGAAAAGTAAAAAGATCGGATCGGATTTTTACGAGTATCGGCCGGATCCGATATTTTTAGAAAACTCGAGATATCGGTGCCGCTCCGACCCGATATTTAATATCAGCACAGCCCTACTTTAAATTAAGAATATCTTATGATGTGTGATTCACAAATTTACCTATTTTTCTCCTAAATTTTAATATTTTTATAAGATACATTAAGGACCACCATATGCACAAACTAATTTAATCACCCTTCAACCCCGTCATTCTTGAAGGGTTATTAGGTAGTTTTTTAATATTTATGATAATTGATTAAAATTGTAATTTAAATTTTATTTAAAAAATAACGACTTTTGCAAACGCTAAATTATATGTAATTGCAAAAGAGAAATTATTATTGTATATATATTACATAAAACTTTAGACATGAAATTGAATGAACTAAATCTTTTAATTTAAAATCAAAAAAATATTCCATAGTTTAAATATTTGTCTAGATTGTTTATAAATTAAATTAACATTTAATTTTAATTCTTATCAAACAATTCAAATATTATCTTTTGAAATATTTAAGAAAACAAATTGAATAATATATTATTTGCATTCAGTGTGGAGTATATATAATACAATATTCATATTAGTTTCAAAAATTAACAATGACCAATTTCAAGTAATATTAGTTGATTAGTCAGCTTAAAATTAAATGTAGAGTGGGAAAAAAGCATAACCCAGCACACATTAGCTAATTAAGATTTGAAAAAGAGCTTTAGGTCACGTAACTTTTTTGAAGGAAGAAAAAATAAAATTCCGAGCAAGTCCAGCCTGTAAAAAATAATTTGCACAAGTGGCTCAGCCTGAAAAAAATTTGTCATAAATTTCCCAGCCCTAAAATAAATCTCTGAACCAGACAATATAATAATATTGTATTATTTCAATATTTTAGCCAGAAAGATATTGCCTAAGCCTTAAGATTTCGCTAATAGATCTCCAAACACTTGTGCCAAATATGAGTAAAATATTTAGGTGTGTAATATTTCTCAATATAAAATACAGAGTTAGCCGTTTATAAAAATCGGCTCAAATGAATCGTTGCTCATTATTATGTCTCTGCTGCACTTAGGCAAGAATTTTTTTGCCAACTCTTACAAAAAAAATAACATAAATATTTTGCTATATTTATTGTATATAATTAATGAGAAGAGATAGATTTATATATTGACTTTCCTAGATTTAATTTTGTTTCAAAGTTGTGGTCAAAATTTTCTAAATTTAATGTTATAAATTTTACAGATAACATAAAATGCATAGGCAATTTTCATGGTTGGCCTCAAATTTAGTTTTACCATTGAAAAACTTATTTCAATACCTGCCATAGTTACTGATAAATTTTCTAAAAGAAAATTCCCAGTATTTTTTGTAAATAATTCTTAGAGCAAACAATTTTAGTTCCTCATAAAGATGGTAGTTCCTTTTCAAAAATGTGAAGTGCAAAAATTTGGGAATATTTCTCACATATTATAGAAATATTAATGATAATACTTATATTTCAATCAAGTTTTAAAAAAATAGCTAAAAATAGATATTATTTCAATAAAAAATCTACCCCATTTTTAATAAACACTTAGAAATTCAATTAAAATAAAAGCCTCACCTTCCCTAACAGATATCAATTAATATTATTATTAGATTTTCCAGAATATATAAAAAATATTCATAGTTATTATTATTAAATTTTTTTATTGACCTCTCATGGCAAAATTTAAATTTTATAAAAAAAATACTTCAGATTATACTCTTTTTTGTGAGATGACCTGTTTGAAAGTCAAGCCAGTGAGCTGGGCCAGACAATTTAAAAAAATTATAATGGGTAGGGAAAAAAATTAATGGTCATGTTGGTCTAAGTAATTCATAATAAAAGATGAATAGACCAAGCTATTCATATAAAAAATATGAATTTTTATAAGATAATGGACTAACTGGAAAATTTAAAATTTTGATATATTTTCTTGAATTTCAAGCTAATAATTTGATTAATATTAATACCATTTGAAAATAAATTACGATATACTTATTTCTTTAAATTTTAAGAGTTGTCAAACTAAAATGTGAAATTAAATAAAATAGTATTCACAAAAAAATGAACAAGTTATTTATGCTAATGCAATTACAAATCAGAATACAGATATCAAAAAACATAATTGATTTATAGAATAGTTGTTATTAGATTAGTATAGAGTAGATATAAATGCCTTAATTCTTATTCTCCATTTAATGGCGATTTCCAGGTTTACCCAGGTTGGCTAGTTTTCCCTCTGATTTAATAATTAGGAAATTTTGTAGCAAAGTTTTTACACTAGGATGCCCTTCCTGATATCAACCCCTCTAGGTGGTTTTTACACCCCATCGAGGAGGCAGTGAACCTATTCTAGACCCAGACCTACCTTTTAGACCTCCATTAGCTGCCAAAAGACGTTGCTACTTCCTGTCAGCACAGTTTAAATTAACTGCCCAGGTTGGGCCTGATTTTCATAAAATGTTAATGGGCAGCCAGGAAATTAGTAAATAAAATAATGGGGCATAGGCTAGAAAAATATTTAAATAATGGGCTGGTCAACTAGTGGAAAACATCTTAGTGGCCAGACTAGGTTTATAGGGAGTTCTAATATTTATTATATATATATTGAATATATTTTGTTTTGTATATAAAAAAAGTAAAGTACACACAATAAAAAAAATCAAGATATGTGTCACCAGCCTCATTTATAATAAGCATGAAATACCATAATGTTGCTGAAGCAATGCATAATTCAGTACTAAACAATCATGGTTGTATATTTTGAACATTAAGATAGTTGTATAATTTAGCATTATGCATTTTGAACTATAGCAAACTGGATTATTTAGCTAATGTATTTTGAACTTTAATGTAGCTGTATTAATTAGCATAATATATTTTGAACAATGATGTAGCTGTAAAATTTAACAGTATGTAATATATTAATACATTGCTTGAGTAACATGGTAGCATTTTGAATTTACAAAAAACAAGTCTTTATGCAATGTCTAAGGTAGGCCATAGAGATGGAACTGATAAGAATATATGTATATACTTGGTAAATATAAAGGGAATTAAATGTCCAAGATGCATTGCTTCTGAAGATGGGCCTCTTCCAGTATATAAAAAGAATGGCTTTTTCTGTACATACATATCTAATATGATATCAAAATCTCTGCAAATATAATATTTTTAAAAATTAATTTTTCTAAAAATAAATACCTATGAGCAAAGAATATCCCTCTTGTCAATAAATGATGAGGGTCTTTATTGATTATAGACTTAACCTTTTTAATAAGTTCACTTGTAATTTTAGTGCAACCAAATTTTTCTTTATATTATTGAATTGATTGTAAAATAAAATCCGTTACTTGTTAACTTCTCGTAATCGACACCAGTGGCACGTGTTGAAGATACATTCCATGGATTTACTATATCTACATCTTCCGTTTTATTTATAATAACCCCGTTAAGTCCCTCCGTTAAAATTTCATCATACATTTCACACATGCTTACAAATTTTAAAATGGTATTAAATGCGTCTTACAGAATATAATATTTCTTCGTTCAATTTCATCACCCACCAGGAGTTATAGCGTGCACCATGTATATTCACTAATATATATATCCTATACGTAGACATGTGGGACGCCGGTCAAATGCGCCGCCGCCGATGATTTTAACCACGCCGACGCCGCGCGCCAAAAAATTGTCGTCGCTCAACACGCCGCCGCCGATGTAAAAATTCGGCGGCGTGGCGGCGTGATACATATTTTTTATTATTTATTTTATATATTACTTATGAATATAAGAAAAATATTAAATATTTTTTGAATTATTAAAAAATGCGATTTTATTTTTTAAAATTAATAAATATTATTTGATATAAATTTGATTTGTAACAATCCTTATTCGCTCACTTTGGGCAAGTTTGTGACCAACGTGCTAGATAAAATAAGATTAGGACATTAAATTTGAAAAGGTAAATCTATATTTTATTCTTTTATTTTGATTCAAATAATTTACAACTCGTTATATAAAATTTATTTTTTATCATAATAGAAATTTTATTTAATGATTTTTATTTTGTTGCCATTATAACATATATAAAAATACCAGGACTAAAACAATTATAATGGATGCAGCATTGCAATACCTTGTAACAAAATATAGTATATCCTTGCAAGCAAAACCTTCTTTTGCATGGAAACATTTTGGATCCTTAATATTAAAAATGACACAAATAATAAGAGAACCAGTGTTGCTACAGATAAAGTCTTTTGTAATATATGCTTGCAAATAGCACTTGATAAAGATGGTGAGGATGAAAATAATTCTTCATTTTCAGAGTAAATTTTTTGATTATTTTATAAATATTAGTAAATTTTTTAATTAGTTATCCAATCAAATCTTTTTCAAAAAATATCAGCACATCAAATATAATAAAACATTTACTTGACAAACATGATTTATCATGTAAAGAAGAAATATCTAAACAAAATTTAAAGTTATTTTTCAAACCCATTGTAAAAGATACAACTGACCTTATAAAAGATAAAAAAAATGGATTCTGGTAAGGAATTATGTTCTCATTTGTTGCAAGGATTTAATGCCATTCTCTTCTATAAATAATACTGGATGCAAGATTTTCTAAAGGTTATTTGTAAAATCATTATAATTTTTTATAGGGCAATCTTAATTTTTATTTGTTAAGATATTTAATTATTTTATAACATCCCACATTTAGAATTTTTTATGGCATAATATTTTATTATTAACTTTTTATTATGTAGAAATATGGCATTATTTCAGATGCCAAAGAATTACCTGACAGAACTACACTTAGCCGGAGTGGATTAGATGATGTTTATTTATCAATGAAAGCATACATATGCCAACAAATTAATGTAGGTCCTAAATTTTGGGCTATAACTTTTGATATGTGGACAGACAAATATAGACGGCGAAATTATATCACCTTTACTTTTCACGAAATAAATAATAATTTTAATCTTGTATTTTATACATTGGCGACACATCATGTCACCCAAAAACATACCGCTGAAACTATTCTTTCCGAAATAGAAAAAGTTGAAAATGAATTTGATTTAGGGTCCAAGAAAATTCAAATGGTTACGGATGCAGGACCCAATATAAAGAAAAGTCTTTGTCTAGGAGAATATGATCAGCATTTATGTTTGGAGCATGGATTACATAATCTAGTGACAGTCGATGGAATAAAAAAAGTTAATAAAATTGAAAATCTCATTAAAAAAGTTAGAGAAGTTATAGTTGCCTTAAGATTCAAAACAGTGGATTTTGAAAATATAAACGATATAGAAAATAGAAAATGTTTTGAATCGATATCATATACATCGGATATTTTAGATTTGGATGATAATGATCCTTTTTATGAAGATCGTTTGGGGTATGATGATGATAGTGAAAATCAAAAATCATATGAAAAAAAACATAAAACCTTAAAATTAAATGTGCCTACACGTTGGCATAGTATTTTAATAATGCTGGAAAGTGTGACTGGCAATAACAAAAATCCTATAAATATTCTATTAAATATAATGGAGAAACCGGATCTCAAATTATTTAACTCCGATTGGGACTTGGTGTATGAACTTTTAAATTTTCTTAAAACCTTCAAATAAACTGTTAATTTTTATCTGTCCAAAAAGGAGTTACTATAAATTTAGCCTTATTATTTCGTAGTGAAATTAAAAATCATATAATTGTAAAAGAAAATGATAGTCCACCCATAGCATCCCTTAAACAAAATATGCTTACTAAATTTGATCATAGATTTCCAATAACCGATCTTCAGGTAGTATTTTAAAATACATAAATTATTTTTTATACATTATTCTTTCTTTTATTTTTTTTACTTAGGTATTAGGAGCACTTTTGGATCCTCGTTTTCAATCAATAAACATAGTAAATGAATATTTAAAGGAAAAAAATATTACTCCGGTTGAATTTTTATGTCAACACGCTACCTCTCTACGGTCTTACACGGACGAATTAAACGAATGTAAAACGACGGAAGTTGCTTCAAAACTCGATTATCTTAAGTCATTGGCTACGAAGCATTCATCTATTCAAAACAATAACCTGGAACAACAACACTATTTAACTAGTTTAGAAAAAGAGTGTTATTCATTATTTTCGCCTTATAATTTGGAGATAAAAGATGTCTTAGATTTTTGGAAGATAATAGCATTGGATCTTCCTAAACTTTCAATATTAGCTAGAAAGGTCCTGTGCGTTCCAGCTACAAGCACACCCAGCGAGCGTGTATTTTCTATAGCTGGGCTCACTCTGAACTCTAAAAGATCATTATTATGTCCTTTAAATCTTAATAAAATAATATTTATTCATGATAATTATAACTTAATAAAATCATTAAATTATAGTTATAAACATAATAAAGTATAAATTTTATTTTAAAAGTGTTTCCAATGAATTTATAAATTTACTTAAAAAAATTTAAGTTAGAAAAATATTTGACGCCGCCGCCGATTTTTGTGGCGGCGTCTAAATCGATTCGCCGCCGCCAGCCAATCATTTTAAAAAAAGAAACGTCGCCGCCGAAAATGCTGTCGGCGCACATGTCTACCTATACGTAATATATACCCGATTTATTATAGTGGACGGCACAACTATGTAGTCAGCTAGCATAGTGAAGAAGAGAGGAGTAAGAAAGAGGTGATCTATTATTTATTAGGGGCAAAATAATGTTAAAAAATTGTAAGGCTATATAATACAACAATAACAATATTAATAAATGAATCTGACACCTTGTTAGAAAGTTTAAGAGAGAAAAAAAATAAGTTTTATGTCCGGTAAACATATCCTTGGAATATAACGCTATGTCTATATAGTAGCGTGTTATGTTACAGAGGCATCAAAGTTCCTCAAAGTTGGTCCCTAAAAACCATTATCCTAAGAAGCTTATTATCGTTTATTTATTTTTTCCTTCATTACTCTTTGTCATCTTTTGGAGTCAATATAGTGTTTCCCCATAAATCCTTGTCTCTGTACTATGCAAGCGATGATCGGAATCAACTATCTTACAGAGTCCGTTTTATAAGAATAGAGAACACACACGGTGATAAATTGAATATATAAGAATTGTAAAAAAATAGATTAAACTGAAATAGATATTTAAAAATTTAATGAATATTATATGATACCAACCAGTGGCGTCGCTAGGGGAAGGGGGGCGCGGGGGCTTGGGCCTCCTGAAAAATTTGAATAACCCTTGAAGCAAAAAAATTTTTTTAATGACTCCTTAATCCCCTTGAACTAAAAACAAATAGTTTTAATTGCTCCCTGAACAATTTCTTTTATAATTCTATTGAGTAATATATAGATTTGATTTTATTATTTAAAAATTAATAAGACTACATAAATTTTTATATAATGGATACTATTTTAAATATTAGATTAGATTAGATTAGATTAAATTAGATTAGATTAGATTAGATTAGCTTAGATTAGATTAGATTAGATTAGATTAGATTAGATTAGATTAGATTAGATTAATACATATAAATTATATTTTCACTATGTCAGCTTGCGATCAAATTCTATGTTAAAAATATATCAATATCACTCACTAAATATTAATTTAGCAATAACAGTTTGACTTTTATTATTTAAATTATTATATAACCCTAATTAAATTAATATAATCATTTATTAATTGAAAATTAACAAATTTAATTGTATTTTGCCGAGTTTAATATGACTAATCAACTATTATTGATTTTTAATGTCTCTTTCTAAAATTATTTTCAAAGTCCAAATTCAAATAAGCATAAGAGATTTATTTATAAAAAGTTAGTAGACTAGACATGTAGTTTATAATCCTCTATTCTATTATATAAAATTATTTATAAAATATTAGGTAAAATTCCACTTTTGCAGACTTATTTGACAGTTATATATTAGCTAATATTTTTATAATTTTACTACAATGCTTTTGATAATAAATATAAGAAACAACTTGCATTATCTATTTATTAAAATATTATTATAATTAAACATCTTATTATTTATCCCACAATGGAATAAATTATATATCTTTTCTTCTCTTTTTTACGTGTTTTTAGGAAAACTATTTTTTTCTTCTTCGAAAACAGTTTTGAGTTAAATTTTTAATACGAATATATTTTAGATATTCTTACAAATTTCTATTATTTTAAGATATAATATACCAACTAGAGATGGTGCGACAATAATATATAAAATTTTAATTGCTTTCATGATATCACTCTGGTTTTTATTTTTTACATGTTTCATTTCTAATATTTCATCCTTGCCGTGTAAAAACTCAAGCATAGGCGTAGCCAGGGGGGGAAGGGCAAGGGGAAATCCCCCCCTTCAGAAAATTATCACTTTTTGTGAATATCATTTTAGGCTAATAAAAAATATCCCATTTAGTCCTCCCCCTACTTCCTGACCCTTAAAAATGTATGCATATAACTTAAACAATAATTTGAAAGAAAGAATATAATAATATTTTTTTATAAAAATATTCAACATAATTTATACATTTTTGGAAAAAGCATATATATATATATATAAGTTAACCAAGAATGCCATTTAAGAAATGGAATATAAGATAAGTCTTAAGACAAAAGTGAAATGTATTATAATTATT